TATATATATATATATATATTGTTAAACTGTAATTTTAAAAATGAGTTTAAAATGATATATTTTAATGAAAAAAATCCTGATAGTAGACTGAACATGACATCAATTAGAAAGCCAAATACTTTTTCTGGAGAACAGAACAAAAGAAGAAAAACAGTAAAAATAATATTACAAAAGCCGATACATACTTTTATTTGTGTTTTCACTTTTACATAGGTGCATTACATTTAAAATTGTGATGTTATAAAATTGGATGATAAAATAGTATTTGTAAGTTGATATATAATTGGAGTTGACCACAAGGAGGCATTTTACCTGCAATGATAGTGGTAACCACAAATTGTGGCAGTGACCCATCCCACTTTATCTAGATTCTAGATAGTGTTACATTTAAGTTAAGCCACGTGGCAGCAAAGAGATGGACACATACAGATAATAAAGTAGTAAACTTTAGTAAAAGAGTGGAATAAGAGAGGAAAAAAAACAAAAAGAGATATTTGCAAAATGTGACTCGTCGTGGAAACGACCAAGAGAACAAGTAAAACGGCACTTGCTACAGATGCCAAGACAGGTGACAGCCACCTTGCTTTAAACTGAGCATTCGGTTGAAAAACAGGGAAGAAGGCTATTCTTATTTGCTTTGGTTTAAGAAAAGAGAAAAATAAATGAAATTAAATGTTACGTTATTTAATTTATAAACATGGAAACAGAAAATATGAATAACTTGCAACCATATTTTTATAAATAAGAATGAAGAAATGAAAAGAAATAAAATTTTGGGATAACTTAATTTGTATATTTTATAAATTATTTTTTTCTTTAGATTTCTCAATGTTAGTAGAGATTTCTTTTCTCCCTCTTCTGATGTGCATCTTATGCAAAGTAAGATTAGAAAATTTTAATACATTATTTGATTTTTTTATAGGTAAAGATAAGAAAAATTATAAAAATAGTCGTAATAAGAATTGAATATAGATCATTATAGGTCTAACTACTCCAATCATTTCTTACTGAATCACTAAACTAATCTTAGTAGTTATTTGATCTTTAAATTATAAAAAAATAATTAAATCTTTTATATTTTTAGATTTTTATAATTTAATCTTTTATATTAAAAACTTACTTACAATTTTTGAAATTTCACTAAATATTATTGATACATATAAATGATATAAAAATAATAATTTAATATAATTGTTTAGATGCAGGAATATTAAAAATATTTTTTGAAAATTTAAATATTATAAATAAATTTTTAACTGAAAAAATATAATTAAAAAAACCTAATAATTTTTTAATTTATATAATTAATTATAAAAAAATAAAAAAAAATAAAAAAAACAAAAGCAAAGGCATTTGGGTCATTCGTTTAGATTCTTGAAATTTGTAGTACGTGTCAGCACTAAAACTGCATATCCAATATCCGGTCAAAGTTCAAACTACAAGTACTATAATTTCACACTTTATCAAATTAAGATAACTTTATATTTTATATACTACAAATTTTAGGAGACATAATAGTCATAATACTCTATTTTAAACAACGGGTTGGTATAACAAAAATTCCTCTTAACTAATAATTTTTAAATTAAATCCTAAATATACAATGATGTTAAGTATTTAGAAAGAATATTTCTTCATAGTAATTTTATCTAACTTAATAAATTTATTTATCATAGAAAATATATGAATATATGTGATTTGTAAAAAATTAATACTATATTCTAAAATAAGAAAATACTAGTAATACATTTTATTTGACATGCTAATTTTAAAATATTATCTTTTATTTATTAAAATTTATCAAAAATTATAAATTTTTTAGAAGTCTATTAAATAAGGGGTAAGATTTATTAAATTTTGCAAATAAAAAATTTTAATTAATAAAAGAAGTGTATAGAGAGTATGATCCTAACTTTTTATCTATAAAAAAATTGTACTTAATAATACAAATTCATAAATATTTTTTTATAAAAGTACGCATTAACATCCAGGTAATATTAGTTAAGAAAATAAAAGTACGAAAAAATATAAAAATGTAATATTTAATGTTATTATTATGCACTTTCATCATTGCATTTAATGAAATTTTTTTAAATTATTGAAATTATTAACAAAACTCCATTTCATTTTGAAATATGAAGTTGTCCATGTGTGTTGATAATCATTACTCATTTAATACATTTAATTAAATAGTTCAGATTATTTAAAAATTACAAATAAGAAAAGTGATCACAAATTTTATCAAGTTACTCGTTAAAACGTTAAAAATAAATTTATTTTATTTTATTTTTTTTGTGAATTGAAGAAGTTAAAAAATCTTCCACAAAAATCAATTAAAAGTCACAAGAGTAAGAAATTGAGATTATATCAGTCTAAGTATATACAATAAAAAAATGTAAAACAACATAAAAAAAATTTAAAAATTTTCAGAGACATTCCAAAATAAAGTAAACTATTAAAAAATATTATTAACATATTTATTATATTTTAATATAACTCCGCTGTAAAAAGAATTGTAAAGAGAATTGTTTGTTATTTCAACATAATTTTACCTTGATAATATATGTAAATATATATTATATTATAAAATTGTTTGAAAAATAATTTATAGTCCGTGGTGGCGTTGGAAGGGCGTTGTGGGTTGTGTGTGTTCCTGGACCACAAACCATGGCGAGCACCAGAAGAGAGAAAGGGTTGGTGATGATGGTGTTGGTGTTGACATCATCGTATCATGTTACCTACTCTACTTATTTACCTTCTTTAACTCTTAACTCGGTAGGTACATAAAACAAAACAGTAAAAACCCACCAATAATAAACATCAAACTACAAAAACCAAATCCAATCCAAACCATAAACCTTTTACCTGTGACCTTCCTTCACACAACACAATCTTCCATGGCTGCAACTTCAGCATCATTGGCTTCTCAACTCTACATTGGCCTCCGCCGCCCCTGCCCCAAGCTCGATGCTTTCAATTCACAATCTTTCCCTGCCTTCGACCCCAATCTTCGCCTCTCCCTCTCTCCTCCCAAGCCCTCACGCGCCGTCGTCGCCATGGCCGGCACTGGCAAGGTTTTTATACTTTTCTAAAATCATAACTTTATTGCTGTTCCCATTACCAAATTTATACCCTTGATCGTTAAATAAAATGGGTCGCCGTGATTTCGCCGGGGAATCTTATTCTATTTAATGGGTTGGTTAGTGTTTATGTAATTACACTCGGTGGCCGGGGCTTTTTGTCGATTTTTAATTTTTGGTCATTCATTTTTCCATTTGTATTCTGTATTGATGCTTTCCTTCCTTTTTTTGTGGTTTCAGTTCTTTGTTGGTGGCAACTGGAAGTGTGTAAGTATCTTTCCCACTGAGGTTTTTTTTATTATTATTATTATTGTTAAATTGCAGTGATTATTTCAGCTGATTGAGTAATTGAGTTTTTTTTATTATTATTATTATCACTCTTCTAGCATTAGAATCTTCTGGCAGCACACTATTGGAATGTAAATTACACATCATAACTTCGAGCATATGTTTTGGTTTGGAATAAATAGCATTTGTAATCATGTTTCTCAAGTATTGAACATACTTTATTGGATTATGCATCTGGTTTCAACTCACCACTTTTCTCTTTCTCTAACTTTCTATTGCAGTAGCAGCATAGAGCTCGTTTTCAACCCTTTGTTTTAGTTTTCTATTTTTTTTTTAATTTCTAGGACTAGTGTCCTGCACCCCTTTCTTTCCATCAGCCATTCCTTGTTTATTCTGAGGGATCTGCTCCTCTACATTATATGACTAAAGGAACTCTTTTTCTTTCCCCTTGATCACTATGTTGAGGAGGGCGAATTTGAATGATTAATGTCATTCTTTTTCACTGTCTTAAATATTTTTAAGAAACAAAGTTTCGTGTCAGATGTCACAACATATCTGGCTGTAAGATGAATTTCCTTCCCAGTTCGTCGATGATCCTGTAAACCTATTTGTTTGTTTGAGTAAAATAACAAAATGTATTGTCTCTTACAGTCTTACCTAGTTTTTTTGAAACAGGCACTTCCTTTTTGCATTGCCAGTAGTTTTTGTTCTTTTGTTTTATTTGCTCAACCACTTATAATTATAGATGAAGCATTTGATTCTCATGGTTCAATTAATTACTAGTTCAGTTGACTCTGTGTGTATCTCTATTTGATTTTTATTACCTTTGTTGTTATCTCTCTCTAGAACGGAACAAAAGACTCCATCAGTAAGCTTGTCTCTGACTTGAACAGTGCAAAATTGGAGCCTGATGTTGGTGAGACATGTTCAACTTTTACTTATGTGTTTTTAGTTGAAAGCTGTAGAAGACTACAAAAAAATGTGGTGCTTCTTCCCAACTTCTAAATCATAAAATAATTTTTTGAGGTTGCAAATGATTTTTTCCCCATACACTGACATACTGACAAGTCTGGGTTGGGTTAGCAAAATGCTGATGAAATGATAAAAGTATATTTCAATGCCAAATCTTGTAATACCTCAGTTAGTGTTGTCTGGCATATAGGTGGTTATAAATGGTCAAATCATTTGTGGCAAAAAGAATTGGGCACATGTCTCTAGTGAGCAGTGGCCACTCCCAGTACCAAAAAAACAGCAAAATGCAAGTAGCCCCCCTCCAACTATTGGGCCATCTGCAGAAAACTCCCTTGTGCTTCAAAATTCACCAACACGATCCATTGATCTTTCCAAATAATACCTAATGATTCCTTATTGGGGATTTTCTGTACATGCATAATAGGGTCAAGATGCACTAATATGCATTGCTTGTTTAACTTAAGGAGCCATGGTGGTGAGTTTCAAATCATAAGGAGATTTGCAACACATGATCCACAATTGGAGGGGTTCCTTCTTTTTTGTCCCCAAATTTTTTTCCATCGAGTGTGTGGTTTATGTCCAAAGTTCTTTCTTAACAACCTTGTAAATTTATCTTTTATATTTAGTTGTCATCATAAGCTTTTCCATTTTGTGAGAAGTACAGATGTTGTTGTCGCACCTCCCTTTCTGTACATTGATCAAGTGAAAAACTCACTCACTGAGCGGATTGAAATATCTGCCCAGAATTCTTGGGTGGGAAAAGGTGGTGCTTTCACTGGAGAAATCAGGTTAGCTTGCTCTTTCCTATCCAATGTTAATTGATCTAGGGTTTCTTATGTTTTTTGAGTTATAATGTTTGGCTAGTTGGATGATTGCATATACTCTTCCTTTTTATGTTCACGTTCCCCTTCTCACTGTTCTTGATGTGATTCTGATGTTTAAAGCGAATATGTTTTTATTTTATGGTGGTCCTCAACTATGGTGGAATTTATCAAGTTAAATCAGTCACTTAGTTATTAAAATCTGACTCTTGTAGCGTGGAACAACTGAAAGATCTTGGAAGCAAGTGGGTTATTCTTGGACATTCTGAGCGAAGACATATTATTGGAGAAAATGATGAGGTAAAACAATTCAGAAATCATTTCTACATTAGCTTTCCTAAAGAATATGATCAGTATATTTGTAAGAGATGCAAAATATTTAAGATAATAACTGAATAATGAATATTGTCAATTCCAGTTCATAGGAAAGAAAGCTGCCTATGCTTTGAGCCAGGGTCTTGGAGTGATTGCATGCATTGGAGAATTGTTAGAAGACAAGGAAGCTGGGAAAACTTTTGACGTTTGTTTTCAGCAATTGAAGGCTTTTGCAGGTAGGTGCAAGCCATGTTTCTTATATAATCAATTTTTTTTTGGGAAAATTGGAAAAACAAAAGGGGGGAGGGGTTGTTGATTGCTTTTGCTTGCATAACATCCGTTATGTAATTATATGCAGATGCAGTTCCTAGTTGGGACAATATTGTTATTGCATATGAACCTGTATGGGCCATTGGAACTGGCAAAGTGGCCACTCCCCAGCAAGCTCAGGAAGTACATGCAGCTCTTCGTGATTGGCTGAAAAAGAACGTCTCAGCTGAAGTTGCATCTAAAACGCGAATTATTTATGGCGGTAAATAGTTTATTGCACCTATAGTTGCATTATGAACTTATTCCAGTGTCATGGAAGTTTAACATACCATTCAATAAGGTTCCATGTTTTATTTGAGGTCATGTTTTCTTCAGCCAAGAAAACAACCTTTGCAACCACCCCTCATTATTTTCCATGCGTGACCTTTCTTAAGATGGCATTTTATAAGTACCAAGCAAATTCATTTTTCATTCTGGTATATAAAGGGGGACAGTACCCCTTTATTGTAGATGAATTTAATGGAATTTTAGAAGATTATTGATTAAGTAAAGGTAAAAGTGTATTCTTACAATCACTGAACTGATTGTAATGTACTTGATAGCTGTAAACTTATACATGCACAAAATTCATGTTATGATTAAGATTGTTCCTGACCTTGTCGATTGCAAAATGTTAGTTTAGGTTCAGTAAATTTAACCACTCGAGAATATAATTCTCAATGGAATGTTTTCAGGGTCCGTAAATGGAGGGAACAGTGCTGAGCTGGCAAAGCAAGAAGATATTGATGGATTTCTCGTTGGAGGTGCTTCATTAAAGGTACACATTATCTTCAAAATTTCTTTAGCAAAGTAAGCATACCATGAGTTAAGGAACTGAGGTTGTTATTTATACTTACAAGTTGATCTTGCTGAGGTGCAGGGTCCTGAGTTTGCTACAATTGTGAATTCAGTAACATCCAAGAAAGTTGCGGCTTGATTACTCATTGTGTGTGGTTTTGGCAATATGAGAGCATTAAGGATAAATTTGGCAATAATATGGGTGTATTATTATCAAACTTACTGCTTCATTTTCTTTGCAAACAGTAGGAATGGCATCCTGAGTTTTCCGAAGAGCCAGTGTTTTCATACAGCAATTAGAGATACAAAGATGGTACAATGCAATAAATTATAAATGTTTCTGAATTATTGTTGTTTTATCATTGCCCTTTCGCTTGATGTGCCATCCGGTACACACATTCACGGGGTCAGCTACATTTAATTCAAACCAAAACTTTCACGTGCAAAAAAACAAGGTATTTCACTGAAAATAATTTTTCTCGAGTATGCATGAAATCATTTAAATTATCCTTTTATAAAAGTTATTAATTTGATTGCGTAATGATTCATTTAATATAAGAATGTGATTACTTATTTTTGCTATTTTTTTAGAAAGTGTATTTTTTTAAGGAAAACTATTCTCAAGATACTTTTTTTTCCCCAAAATATATATTACATTCAAAAGTACAATATTTCAACAAAAAAAAAAAGCATTTCAAAACCTTAACTTCATTCCTATTTTTTAAATTCATTATTATTTTTTTACTAAATTTCTACGCTTAAAATCTCTCATATTTTACATCTTACATCTCAATAAAAATATCTAATTATTCAAATAAAATTAAAATATACAGTTTTAAATATATAAACAGAAAAAACAAATTATTTATAGCGATTAAATGAATTTATCAAGTTAGAACAAAAAATTATTAAAAATAATTTGACTAAAAAGTGAAAATTATAGTTATTAGTAAAAATAATCATTAAAATTGTAATTAAATATGTATATAAAAATTTATAATCAAATATTTAATTATTATTTTTTTGTTAATAATTAAGACTGTGAAATTTATATTTATAAATTCATCTATGAATTAAACATAACATGCATTAAACAAGCTACCTATGAATTCAATTCGCTAATTATCCTCACAATATCACACACCTCTCTAGTAATTATTTAAAGTTTAATCTTTAATTTCATACCTTACTTCACATTGATTAAGGATCTAAAATGAACTCAACAACCTACTCCAAGAAAGAACACTACCTCAATGAGAATTTTCTAACAATTGGTCTTATAAGCCAACATCGATATTTTCACAATGAGATATTCAACTTTTAAAAGCACTTTCCCCTCTAATTCTAAGTCAATCAACAACAATGCTTAAATGTTTAAAGCAGTCTTAATATCAACACCTCAATAATTCAATAGTGTAACCAACTATAATGCTTAAAACATTCTTAACATCACACCTCAACAATCTAACAATATAATCATATATATATATATATATATATATGTGTGTGTGTGTGTGTGTGTGTGTGTATCACCCCATATCAATATACATAAAACAAATATCATCTATCAACATAACATATAAGTAAATTTTTAACCATTTTTGTCTTATTTAATGATACTCTTTGTAAAATATTCCTAGTAGTAAAATTTAATACAAATAACTTTTTTAATATGTCTAATAATATATATATTTTTTCTTATAATAGAGAATAGAGGGACTACTTGTTATGAAATGTTAAAATTTTCTTTACAATTTACTCATGTTACTTGCCAACTTACGACGAAACTGTGACAGAAGGATGTAGGTTGGGCATTCAGATAAGTAGTGGTGGGTGCAAGTATACCATATCAAATTTTGAGAGAAAAATGTGCCAATTACAAAATTGAAATGAATAAAGTATGAGATGAATAAATGAAATTGAAGAATATTTTTGTACCGATGTAAGTTTGTTATGGACTCAGTGGGAAGGTACTGTAATCATTGAAGGCCCACGGGCATTTTTTATATTTCTTATCAGAAGGCCCCAACTACTAGATTGAGCCCATTCAAAAGCCATTCTTCAAATTAAAAGCCATTACAATATAGGTTGATGATATATATACCTCCTTTTTTCTATAAATACAATCCCTTTTAAAATTTTTTTTTTTTTAAATATTCTTAATTTTTAATTTTTAAATTTTAAATTTTACATTCACAATATTTAATTTAGTACTTTTTTTTTTACAAATCTTTTATTTTTTTAATTTTTACATGTACTCCCTTACCTTTTCTTTCACCTTATTTAGGTAATTTTAATTTTTTTGGTCTTACATTACTCTTCCTCCCTCCTCTTTTAGTTTTCTTACTCTTATTTTCTCTTCCCGCTTTTAGTTTTCACACACATGTAAAACGTATAACTAGTTTTCAATAATATTATAGATGTGTGTGGCTTTTTTGACAATAGGTAAAAAATTAGAAAAAGAAGAAATAGTGCATGTGAAAACTGAAAAAAAAAAAAAAAAAAAAAAAAAAAAAAAAAGATGTATGAAAAAGAAGAAGAAAATAATAACTTAAAAGTTGGAGATATAAAATTAAAAAAAAACAAATATTTATAATTTTTTTTTAAATAAAGGAGGTGTACTTATAAAAAAAAGAGGTGTATATATCATGAGCCTACAATATATTAATAAGTACCTCATCGTGTCCATAGTTTAATTCAATTTTTTGCACAAATAAAAAAGTTAAATTCTATTTGTGATTTTAATAGCAAAAAAAAATGTACTTTTATTACGTCAAATTATTTGATATTCGAAACAAAAATAACAGCTGTCTTTTGGGGCATGCAAGGAAGAAAAAGCGATAGAACAGAAGAGGCTTCGATCGTAACAATAAAGGAACCGGAAATCACGAACACCACCAAAGAATTATTGACATTGCTATGTATTTTTTTTTTCTTTCTATAATTGTCAATTTAACCTAACATGTGAAACCCACGAATAAGGGCCCCTACTATCTAGTGATCTACGGCTCCTGTCTTATTCACTGTAACAATTACACACATGACACAACAGAACCGCCGAATGATTAACATTAATTAATGTGCTTAGGCACATGCAAAATCTTAATGTGCCGCTGTTATCTGTATTTTATTTTACTATTACTATTCATAAATCATAATCATTAATAGAAATTATCAAATTAATCATCACAGAGATCCGTTGCTTCATTGCCACTGGAGGAATCTAACACAGTAATTATAAGTGAAACTGTTCGTTTACCAAATCAATACATGAGGCCTCCAAAGTCAAATGGAGTATAGCTATAAATATATGTTTATAAACTGCAAATTAGAATAGACAGCAACTACTACTTTCTTCGTTCTTTTGTACTGTGATTTATTTCAGATGGACATATATGATCTTGGAAAAGCTGGTGTAAGTATATATAAATCAATATCTAAAGTGGTTAGGGTTGTGATAATAATGTATTTATATTCAAAAAATTAAAGGCTAATTTGATTTGGTTCATCCACTTGTTAATGTTATTAGTATTCAGAGAGTTTGCAGAGCGAGTCCCGGTAACGTTATTGTTTTTCTTACCCTATGGCCTAATAGATGAGAGATTTGGGTTTGTAAATCCGTTGATTAAGTGTTGAAGGTATGGACCATATAGTTATTTCCCAACGAAAAAGTGGATAGCACAGGACTATGCATAAAGTGAGAGGCCTGTTTGGTTTGGATACTAGTCTCCCAACGCTTTCTTTCACGTGCTCTGCTGCCTCACTATCTCATCATTGATGTGGTCTGATCTATGCATAACACCCCATGCCATGCCATGAATTACCTCCATCATCCATCCACACCTATATTTAAGACAAAACCACCAAAACCTTTTCTTCACAACTTGCATGCCATTTGTTTGTATATGCCTCTCCAAATAGGAAAATAATATCTTTACAACCATCTATTCTTATTTTCTTCATCCTATCTTATCAAACTACAGGTGGATCATTGGATAATTATATATACAGTGGAAAATAAGACAGTATAGGGTAATGATTCGAGTCAAAATGAATTTTATATATATTCTGGTATAGTTTTCACTTGATCATATAAAATTCTAGCGTTTATCCAATTCTTATTTTTTTTTAATATAATATTATATATTGAAATGTTTACATGTACTGCAAATAAGAAGAATTGGTATTAAAATCCTGTAAGGGATGCATTCCCTGGGTTGGACAGACATACACATACTAGTTGGTGATTAATTAGCATAGAAACACAACCAACGAGAGTCGTATAGCATAGATATGTGATATATACGGTTCAATCTGGTTTAATTTAGTCCCTTCTCTATCCAAGTTTCTAGATTCATTCTTGGTGGAATTTAATTTTTCAAGTACTGTGGTGGGTACGTTTAATTACATGTTGATTATGTTAATTAGGGGTGGACCCACTCCAGCTATTCTGTCATTAAGACATTTAGCCTTTGTCGCAGACGCATAGCATGGTAAAGCTTTATGATTAAGAATTCAATGAGAATAGAAAAAAAGAAAGAAAGAAGTGGAGTGGCACAAGAGTACAAGCAAGCAGACCCGAATGATGATACATTCAAATTTCAATGGTGGACCAAGGGAGTGAAAATAATTAAACTTAAGAGAAGAGAACACGGATTCAACAGGAATGAAAAACACAAGGAAGGAAAAGCATAGACAGAAGAAATTCAATAATACAGAATTAAGAGTCTAGTAGTCAGTGGTGGGGAGCTGCTCGTGGGTGTGGCTGATGAAGACGACCTCGTAGATAAGCCCAGCGAGCCCACCACCGATGAGAGGCCCAACCCAGTAGATCCAGTGGTTGTCCCAGGTCCAGCTGACGACTGCAGGCCCAAAAGAAACGGCCGGGTTCATGGATGCTCCATCGAAGGCCCCACCCAACAGAATGTTAGCGCCAACGATGAAACCAATTGCGATGGGAGCAATAGTTCCCAAACTGCCCTTCTTGGGGTCAACGGCTGTAGCGTACACCGTGTACACCAACCCAAAGGTCATCACGATCTCCAACACCAAAGCGTTCCCCACGCCAACTCCAGCGGAGAGCCCGAAAGCTGGAACAGACTGCATAACAAAAACTTTCGTTAGTTTATATATAAAGTTACTTATTACTTATTACTTAATCATAACGGTAATAACGGTCTTACCGAAGCGGTGACGAAGGCCAGGAGCAAGGAGGCCACGATGGACCCCAGGAGCTGGGCGATGACGTACGCGATGCCGCGAAGGAAGGTGATGTTGCCGCCCACGAAGGCGCCGAAGGTCACGGCGGGGTTCACGTGGCCGCCGGAGATGTTGGCGCCCACGGACACGGCCACGAAGAGGGCGAATGCATGGGCGATGGCGGCGGAGATCAGACCAGCGGGGGTGGCGGCGCCGTTGTCGGTGAGCTTGTTGTAGGCGATGCCGGAGCCTGAACCGGCGAAGACGAAGATGAGCGTGGAGATGAACTCAGCCAACGCCGCCTTCAACGTGTCGGGGTGAGTTACCTCTTCGGGCCTTCCAACGGCGATGTTACGGATCGGCATCTTCCACTACGCTGATCGCTTCTCACTTCTCACTTCTCACTTCTCACTTCTCACTTCTCACTCAACTCTCTGTTTCGGTGCCACTGCTTTTCGCTTCCTCGCCTCTTATATATCCACTCTCAACAACACTCCACCGGCTCTACCCGGTTCCCGGTTGTTTCCTTTTTTTTTTTTCTTTCAGGTTTCGAAATTATTTGCAGTACTTCCAAAAATGACGGGAATCAAGTTTTTCAAAAACACCAAGCCGGAAAAGAAACAATCCTATTTCGTGCCAGCCTGTGACATGCTCTTCATTTCAAATTATTAATTGCTTTCCCTTTTTCTATTTTTAAATTTCTATTTTTATTTTATCCTTTTATATAAATATTATTTCCTTTTTTTATTTCGGTATATATCCCCACCACGAGTCGTTGCGCTTAAGACAGCGAAGCGCTTCGGCGTTACCCGTTCCACGACTGACACGTGTCCGAGATGGATAAGAGCCACGTAGGCCGCTGATAAGTGGAATGTGGAAATGGCTTGGCCTTTTTTTATTTCTGGATAGTTCGAAGAGAGCAATTGTGAGTGACGTTGGCTAGAGAATTATATTATGTATCGCGTGTGTAAAAAACATAATGGATGGGACTAGTGAATTATAAGTTATAACTACAAAATTTAGCAAAGTGGTAGTACTTACTTAATCTATAATTATAAGGCATAATTGATGATAATATAATGAATGAATGAGATAAGAGGATAAGCACTGTGACTCTGTCAGTGACCCACCGGAAAAAGCAGGTATAATTAGCAGAGCGCGACTGACACGTCGGCAAACTTTAGTTGTTTATTATTAAACATAAATGTTGCATGTAGGATGTACCCTCTTTTTCCAGAAAGGTAAATTTGAGATTTTGCATAAAGCTCTGCTTTAAATGGAAAGAAATTTGATTAAGAGAATTAAAATTAATCTCCCGCGCGGCATGATGGGATTAGCTTAGCTGGACCCCTCAATTATTCTGTATATTTTAGCAAACAGGTGGAACCGTGCATCTGGAATCACTGCAATATTCTGTTTCGAGGCATCGACTTGATCTACCCCCAACAACTTCAACACTTCAATAATGTATGTATGTAACAGGTTTATAAGCTTACTACTTCCTTCAACAAAAGTGAAAAGTTCATTCAATTTTGGCGTATTCTGCTCATGTTTCTGTCAGGCTTTCTCTATTCAATCTAATTACTGTAGTAATAATAACTTCAGTGGTTTTTTTCTCTCTCTCTTTTGACAGCTAGCAACTTCAATGGTTCTAGTTATAAATGAATATATGATCCCTAAACTTAAGAGGTAAGTTAAGAGTTATGAAAGAGTTAGATTGGAACTAATTATAGTAAAAGATGAGCATTGGATGCATTATATTGTGTGTATCACCACTCATGAGTTTCCCTTTTGCAAAGAAAATATACAAACGAATTTGGACTATATTTTACGCATATGATCTGCCAACGTAGCCACAATCACTAGTTGTTAATGATTGCATTATTATCATCTACTTAAATCCGATATCATCCAACTATTTTATAGCCTGGCTCAGTGTAAAACTTTCTCTTTATTTAACTCTTATTTATGATCTTGATCTTGGTTTAATTCTGACTGTTTCGGGGAATTTTGAGAAATGATCAATTATTTTTTAAAGGCTTCCATAAAAATGTGCAAATTTTCCTTCTAAAATTAAATGAATCGGATTCTCATGTATAAGAGAGTTAAAGCCAATTCAATGCTTTTTTATCCAAATTATTCAACAAATGTAACAAAATAAGAATATTGTTTTTACTATATTTTCTTATTAATTATTACATTTATTAATTAAGAAGATTAATTATAAGAAAATATAACACTATTCATATTCATAAGACAATATAATTACACTACATATCAAGGCATTTCAAAATTTTTCACTTTAATTTTATTTATTAGAAACGAAGCTTTAATGTTAAAGTCTATATAGAAGTCACATAATTGATATTGTAATTGATCTTTAAGTTTTAAGATTTTAAGTTTAAATTTTAAGTTTGATAAAAAAAATGTGAAAAAAAAAATCACAATACAATGAAGGAGACTAATTTTTTATAAAATTAAATAATATATATATAAAAGTGGTCAATTACAACGAATTGAGATAGGTTTTATTTATTTATTTATTTATTTATAAATTTCATTAGTCTAAATATGACGTGAATTAAATTAACTATGTATAGTGGACAATGTCACTTAACCATTTTATATAATACCTGATAATATATATGAGATGTCACGTCAGTATACCAAAATAAACAATATTTATTTGTCCTAAAATAAAGATGTTGGAATAAAAATAATCTATTCAAATTTTAGAGAATAAAAATTAAATAAAAATAAAATTAAGTATTCCTTCTAGACGCACACAAGTGTTTTGTACACCACATAATTTTTTGTGTTTAGAACAAATTTTAGTAAACCTAATCAAATTAAATATATTTTTATACTAAATTGTTTATCCCTATCCAGTTTTAAAAACTATTGTTTTAAGGTTGAAGATTAGTCTCTTACTAATTAGAAGAGAAAAAAAATATCATTAATGCTTGTACACATATTCATATTTTACAAATGGCCGGCACCGCTTTTCAAATTTTTAATTACATCTCCACCAAATCATTAGATCATTTTAGTGGTTGGAACTCCAAATTATAAATAATTAGTGGATTATGTAAACCCAGATGGCTGCAGGTCAATATGATTTGCTAATGAATATGTTGGATGTATTCAAGCTCCAACATCTCTACTTCTCCCTTTCTATGTTATCCCTTTCAATATTAATGTTTATTTATAAATTTTTATTATTTTATGTTTATCATCTTTCATAAGAGATTATATGTGTTTTATAAAATTTTATAAACATACATTTTTTCTCATGATCTTATGATGTAGGATTTTTGTTTATATCTTAACAAATTTAGATTATGTTTTAATTTTTCTTTTAGTGAAAATCATTTTTCCATTTATGAGTACTTAATGGTAATTTTTAGAGTTTTACCCATACTTACTAGCTTTATATATTTGCACAGTTGTTAACTCACATTAATGAGACGTATTGTTTGACTGCACACCATTAAAAAGACTTTCAACACAACAAATCTTATACTTAGATTCATTACCTTCCATTGTCAAATATTCATCCAAGACACTGAGTCGATCACACTTGAATCATCTCCTTTAACAAAAATCATATTTTTATCTATGTGTGTTCGGTGATGATCCTTAAAACTTCAGTTAGAGTTACCAACTTTAAATATTTACACTGTCATTAACTCACATTCATGGGACACATCACATGACCTCCACATTATTAGGAAAAATTTTAACATAGGAGATTTCACAATTAGATTCATTGTCTTTTATTGTCAAATACTCGTTTGAGACTCAAAATCGATCACCTAATTAAAATCATCAACTCTAATATCACTATTAGACATTCAAAGTTCACATACATATATGTTTACATACAATATTATCCACTTTAGATCTACAAACTTGTAATTTTATTTTTAATTATTTTTCAAAAAGTCTCGTTCTAATAAAAATTATGTATATTTTATAAATTTTAATTTCTTTCTTTAACCAATTGATATAAGACTTGTCAGTACCTAACAAGTTATAATTAGGCTTGGAGATGAGTGCTTTTAATTTGATATATAGTGAAAACTGAATTATTATTGGTTACAGTCATTAATTAATAGTTAGTGCATTTTGGTACAAAATACAGTTTTTTTCTTCCTTTGAGACTTTTTGCTTGCATGATTTGCGTGACGCAACTAATAAAGGAAATATCAATTTCTTTCGGTGGTAAAAGTATTCATATTCTTATATCAGACATTCAAACACAAGAATATAGCTATTTTGTTGCCGGAACCGGTAGAATATATATAATTATTTTCTTTATATATACTAGCAAGAAAAAGACACTTTGTATATGTATTATATTAAAAAAAATATTTATAAAAAAGTAATTATTAAAAAATAAATAAAGAATAAAATGATTTATATAAAAATAAAAAATAAAAATAATTATTGTAAAAATGTTTTATTAGTTTTAAATTGTTAAATTTAATTAAAAAATATTTTTTTAATTTTTTAACATAAAAGGGTATAATAATCTAATAAAGTAGAGACCAAAATAGATACCAAAAAAGAATATCTCCTTATATATTAGTATAGATATATTATCAAAAGTGAGATTAGTTAAACTTATTTTACTTAATAATTTATGTTTTATGTCAAATTTTAATGATATAACTATTAAATTAAAAATTTTAATTTAACAATTAAATATTTAAAATTTAATATAAAATATAAATTATTAAATAAAGTAAATCTAAATAATCTTGATCTTAAAATAAATTCTTTTTCTTTTTCTCTATATATACACACAAGGAAGTGACATCAAAGTCAGTTTAACGTTATAAACCGAAGGTTTTGTCCGGTACGGTGGAAAAAAAATAAAGAAATGGGAGAAATTTTGAAATTTGAAGAGAAAGGGAAAACGAAAGAAGAAAATTATTGAATTTTTTGTTTCTAAAAATTAACTTTTTTCTTCTTTTTTTTTTTCTTCTTCTTTTTACTTCATCTCCAACTGAACATAAAAGAATGCATTGCTACTCAACATAAATATTTATCAAAAAATATTAACTCTTTAAATAAAATTTTATATTTTAAAAATTAACGTATATTAGCAATGAAATATGTCCTAGGCAGCCGAAAAAAGAATTGAACGTTAAGGATATCCGGTAGCATATGCCAGCATTAATTCTGTGTGTTTCATTATTTTTCTTAGTGAGTCTATGCATATGATGAAAGCAAAATGAGAAGAAAGATGGCCCACCCACGGGGTGGAAAGTCCAAACCTCAAATAATTGATGATCTTGCATGTCGAAACAAAGGAGCAAGAGTTATAGTTTTTACTTAGTGCCTCTAACCGAAACAAAACCAACATCATATTCTATGATCTTGTCAGATGCGCATAGTATAGTTTATCAAATGATTAGGTGTTTGTGGGATAAGTTGTGAGGCTGAGATTGATTTAGCGCTTGCAAGAACAG